CCCCAAAACCCCAAAACCCCAAAACCCCAAAACCCCAAATAAGATAACCTGGATTGAACTAGGATATTTATTCATTGAAGGATCTCACATGATGCTCCAAAAGGTTAAAGCCAAGTGCATTATTGATGATTTCCTTTGAAACTCTGTACCTATGCTTGTAATTATTCGCAGATTTTCTGAACAGTCTTTCCATTCGTGAAGCCTCTAAATCCCTCATCTCATGGATCTGGACTTTAAGTTCCTTGACTTTGTCTTCAAGTTCGTTGATTTCTAAATTTATCATACCAGTGTCAAATCAGGTTTTTCCTTCAATTGGGATATTTACGTTGTGAAATATATCATCGAGTTGTAAACCATGGATGTTTGTAGACTTCTGGTCAGGATGAATCTAAATTCTCAGAGACAGCCCAATGCTAATATAATTACCTGATCTACTTTAGTGGTTTTAGACATTGTATGTAATTTTTCCTTAATCAAGCTCAGGATCTCATTTTTATCCTTCAAATTAGCCATTCTATTAGTTGGGTCATTTCTCTTCTTAAAAAATTGAGAGGTCTTGACTCCTCCTGAAGGAAGAGATGGAGCACTAGATCTCCTTGGTGCAAATTTACCATCGAAGAGAGAATCAGCATTAGACAATTGCTCTCTATAATAATTAAAGAGGTATAATACCTTTGCTCAAAGATAGACTCCTCAAATTGGCCTTTCTCTTTCTCTATTAGAGTTTCCTTTCTTTTGGTGACGAACTCTGTGATACTTGCTCTAATATCTTCAAGTGTCATTTTAAGTTGAGTTATCCCTAAAAGATATTGGATAGCTTTTGGGTCTAGAAATCTTGGAAATTTGCTGATTTTGACTGTTTCCCCAAGCATCATGAGGGCTCTTAACACCCAAGATAATCCTTCTTGTCTTGTATCCAGTCCTATCTGGAGTACTTTGTAGTAATGCTGAATTTGTGCGAATTCAATCTCTTCTATCTCTGCCTTAATACTTTGTGTTTTTGACTCAATTTTCTCGATTACCTTCTTGTTTTCCAAAATGAGGCCCTTCTTAGCTTGGATATCTTCTTGCTTATGCTTGATAACCCCTCTGATCTTTTCTTTGACCTTCCAGATCCTTCCTGTTTCATCAAGCTTTGGGACATCACTTTCTGCTAGCTCTTTAATCATGTCTGAAAGTACATTGATTTGGTTTTCTCATACTATAAGATAATAAGCAGGTTCAATAATACACTTTATCTTTGCAGCCTGGTTTTGCCTAGCAGAGGCATACTCAATGTTTTTCTTCCGTAGATTTTCTTGTCTACTTGAGAATATTTTTAGTTCTTTAACGAGCCTATGGGTTATTAGATAAGCCTACTTTTGCTTATTTGAACTCGAGCCGGACTTCATTTCCAACATTTTTCTTTGTCATCCTTCCTACTTCTTCTTTTGAGATTTGAAGATAGTCAATATCTTCAATGTTTCTGAAATCTGAGAGAGAGTTCCAGTTTGAGCTTCCAATCGAGCCAATACTTCCTCAAGCCAAATTCGTCTGAGGCGACCTAAATTTTTTAGGACTATTTTTCAAATATTGATATCTTACAATGAGCCGATAACGCTTTGGGTTGGACTCGATAAGCAGGCTGCAGCCTTCATTTCCTCTCTTCTTGCTTTCTTCTTATTGCGGTTAAAACGTTCAGAAAGCTTCCTGGGGTCAGTAATAATCTTGCTATGCTTAAAAATAGGATCTTTTAGCAGAATCTCAAATCCTCTATTAGACTGGTCTTCTATAGGATCTAGATACTTCTTTTTAAATTCCTGGTCGAGGGCCACCTATTTATAATATAGGAAAATACCTTTGGGAATAAGATATGATTGTCGTGCTGCCAGTTTTGGAGGTCTTCTACCTCCTCCTGGTCAGTATTGATCATCTTCTTGAGAGTATTTCCAAAATTAGGCTTGGTGGAAGATATCTTAGACTCGAGCCTTGCTCTATTTTTCATCATATTTCTCTTCTTTTAGCTTAAAACTGAGCCTGGCTTCGCTGAAAATCTTCTGTCTGCAAAGTCTATTAGTCGCAGAATGGAACAGATCTGGGCTTGTAAACCATAATGTTGAACTTTCATTCTGAGGATCTATTGACATCCCTAGATAGGAAATTTAGTGAAATATAGCATGGATAACTGGTGAATGAAGAACAAGATTCTCAGCAGAGATATTGGTTAGATAGGTATTTGAGAGAAAGAGCAAATAAATTGTTCTTACGAGGCATTGAACCGCTAGTTCCATTAATTTCTCTTTTTAACAGTTTTAATTGGTTTAGCTTTAGATGATTTCATAAATGTGCTGGAAGTTGTCCTATATTACTTGTGAGCCAGTGTGAAATTTGATAGAGAAAGGTTATTGATAAGTTCTTTACAACTCCTGCTAAGAGCAATTAATCTTTGAGAAAGCCCTTACCTTCTCATATGATTTTTGTTCATAGTGAAAATTGCAGGTCTCATATTATATTAATTTTATTTTCTCAGTGTTTAAAATTTTAATTGGGGTTTTGGGGTTTTGGGGTTTTGGGGTTTT